CTTATAATATTAATTAAATATAGCTTTTAATAAGGTTTTTTTGTAAACATATTAATGATATTAAGAATTTTGATAATTTATCGATATTTAATTTTTTAGTCCATCCAAAGATGTGAACGCATTTTCACCGGAGTTCGATCATCTCTTCAGCATTTCAAAAAAAACATAATGCAATTTCCACACGAAGGTTCAACGTTCAGTGGTTCCTCCCACCCAGTCTACTGTCACGTCTAACAGCTGATATCAGTACTGACCGGATGTTAATCACAGTAAAAGGATCATCCGTTCAATTATGCCGCCGTGTGAATCCACCGTGGTGCGTTTACGGAAGTGTCTAACGGGGGAGACGTTATTACAGATAATATGACGAAAGAGAGGCGTCACTTGCCGGCGGCCGCACTTAGATTTATAGAAAGGCCCTCGTACAGGTTATGCGAACCACTTTATCTGTCAGGTCACGTACAGCACGATGGATAGGCACATGTATCTATGGAGAGGCGCCGACAGATTGTCCTTTACGTTCGGCGACAAACCAAACGGCGTTATTTGCAAACTCGCCACCGTCAAGAATCACATCTTCGCGGCGACGACCACCAGCAATCTCTACTACGGGGAAGTGTCGCCACGCGAGGACGCCTGCCCCGCGCTCGTTTTCAAAAGGGCCCAACTCGATGTCGTCGATCTAGCATCCAATTCCGAACATCTGTTCGTCGTCAATACGAACGGGCATGTTTTGAAAGTAAATCCTCAGGACATGAGTGTCGTAGACACCATCATTCTCAAGGAGGAAATAAAATACTGTAGCCATGGGTACGTGTATCAAGAGGAAGACAGGTTTTTTTACTACTGAGATTTATACAGATCTGTTTTCTTTTTACTCTATTGTCTTAAATCTTTTTATGATATGTATAATTTATTTGTATTTCTTATTGCAATATTCTCAGAATCATTTCATCTTTTTCATCAAATATAAGAACAAATACTGATCGCAAACATTGTGAGCTTTAAGTGGAAGCAGCCTTGATTATTTTATTGAGTATATCTTATTCGTAACTTATATTAGAAAATGGTTTATTTTATTTGCAGATACAAGGAAGAAAATGAAGTAGTGAAGGTGAAATTTATAGCAATTAATGACAATGCAGCATTGTTCGTTACTGACAGTGGACAGCTGTGGGCTAGTGGTAATCAACCACAGATAGACATAAGTAGTACAGAACCAAAAAAGGTTAAATTTTTTGAAGGGAGAACAGTGTCTGAAATTGCATGTGGTTCTAATTTCAATGTGGCTGCTGTGAGAAAGACCACCAAGCTTATGAAGGATGATACGGATAGCGAAAACGAGTTGGAAGAAGAGATTTTTGTTAATTCTTGCCCACAATGTCTTAACAACATTATGTTAAGTCCTGGAAGTGTAACATCGTCAGACACGTGTCTCACCGGTCTTCACGCGCAGCAATTCAGTGAAGATCGTTCGACGAATTCCATCAGTGCTCTATCCACTGCCAGTAAGGAGCATGTTTCTCTATCGGAAATAGATAAGAAGGGACAATCATCTGATATTGTTGAAAATGGTGAAGAATGTCTGAATAATCTAACAGATTCTGACAAAGATGAAAAAAGAAACGTTATATTTATAAACACAGAGACCGCTCGACAATTTCTAACCAGGCAATTATCCTGGGTTTCTTCTTATGGAAGTGCGAAAGAAGATATTCCTATGGAAAGTGTCGATCGATCTACAAGATTGATAAAGCAAAATGTTTCGAACATGGCTAATTTAGTATATGAGGGTGTTAAAAATGTAGGAGGCAAAGTAGTAACTTTATCGAGACATATGAGCGGTAGTTCTGATATTAACGAATGTAAAGCTGATAGTAATGAAAACTTAGAAGAACAAGGAGATACTTATACAAAGCCTACTGTAACCAGTCTGGCACTCAGTTTACGCTGCGAAGAATTTCCTTGGTCTTCGAGTACTGGTTCCTCTGAGCATGAATTATCCCAACAAGGTTTGAATGAAAGAATTAATGCATTGTCTCGTACTGGCAGCAATATATTGGCAACAGAGGTCTGGACATGGGGTGATGTACAATATGGACAATTGGGAACGGGAGATATTATTAAACGACCAAGGCCAGTATTAGTAATGAAGCTTAGTCATACTGGTATTAGAAAGATATCTTGCGGTGCCTTCCATGTACTCGCTTTAACACTGGATGGCAGAGTATTTGCTTGGGGTCGTAATAATTTTAAACAAGTCACCTTGCACACTATGGTAGATCAAAGCGCTCCTCAGCTGTTTACCACAAAATTATCTTCCAATGAAAGAGCTATTGATATGGCAGCTGGTAGTTTCCATAGTTTAGTAATGATGCATCATGGTTTATACTTTATGGGACAATCGAGGTAACCAACTAAAATAAGAATCTTTTTTATAATTAGTGATTTTTTTCTATATATTTATAAATATATTGTGATTTTAGTAAAGTTGGAGATATGTTTCAACTTGACATACAAAATAAAGATGAATCAAACAGTCCGAGAGGGATTTTCAGTTCTGGGCAATACAGTTGTTGTTCTGTGATAAATGAGCCGGCAGTGAACGTATCAGAGGATTTGATAAACGACCAGATTTTTCTGGAAGAAATGTTGACGGTTTATCAAAATCTCATTAAGCCGTTTCAAAAAAAGAGTGGTGTAACTCAGGAAGCCAATGTATATGAAACATTATGTCGTTGTTATGCGGAGCTGATGCACTTTAGCGTTTTAAATGTCATAAGTTTGTGGGATTATTTTAATCATGTTGGAGAAGCATATGAAGTCACAATTGTTGCCAATATAGAAGAATTTACTACAGTGTATAAATACTATCTGAATGCTGTTTGCGATGTTATATCTCTTGGTGGTTTTACACATATTGCAAAAGTCATGGAAGTGCCACAAGTAGTAACAAATTTGTTTGTACATAATTTAAAAAGTAGTGATTTAAAAAAGCATAGCAATGAAATTGTTATAACAATGGCATTACAACATCCCTTATGTAAATTAAATAGGTAAGTATATAATATCAATTTTTAACATATTAAATTGAATTTCTACATAATAATGTATTTACAATATTTCATTATAGATACAAGAATATGATTCATAGTTTAATAAAAAGTAATGGCACAAAGATGGGTGTTGAGCGATTACAAGAAGCTCTTATAAAATGGGAGCAAGTACACGATGAACAAGATAAACGTCAGAAAGAAGCAGAAACTACAAAATTATTTTGGGAAAGTTCTGGAAAGCTAGGAGAATCATTAAGATCTCCCAATAGAAGGCTCATTCGAGAGTCAAGAGCATACCCACTGTCGATACTTAATTCTGGTAGATTTTCATCACATTGGTTTATTTTATTAACTGATATTTTCATACATGTCACTGGAACTGCGCATACGATTCATCCGCTTCAAACATTATGGGTAGAACCTTTACCAGATTCCGAAAGTGTACAGGTACAAAATTGTATTAATCTTTTAGTCTCTATATTGCATTATATTTTATTTATTTATTATAATGAGAACTATAATAATATATAATGAGAACTATAATAAGTGTAATTAAGAATAAATTGATTCCTTTTCTAGAATGCTATTTCGATTATCGCACCAGAGGATAATTTTGTATTATACACTCCTACTCCTTCCGAACGCAATGAGTGGTTACATGCCTTGCAAAATACTATAAAGTGCAGTTTACAAAGAGTAATTGGAAATGTACCTCCATTAGCACGATCAAGTTCGTTCTCTTTCGTGAAACATAATGTTTTTAAAGATGCAAAATATACTGGTTTGTAGAGAAGATTATATTAAAATATATTTCACTAAAGAAGCATTATGTGTGTGAAGATATATGGTGTTCAATCATATGATTAATAATCAATCATTTTAGGACGATGGTTAAATGGTAAACCACATGGCTCTGGGAAATTAGAATGGTCCGATGGTCGTACATACGTAGGCCAGTTTCATAAGGGTGTCATTCATGGTACTGGAAAAATGGAAATTCCAATGCAAGGTGTATATGAAGGCCAGTGGAAAGACGGTCAACAAAATGGATATGGAACAATGAAGTGAGATTCATTTCTTGAAAATGTCTTCACGCGGTTATTACAATTAATTACTTTATGAAACAATCAATGTAAACTTTTGTTTTTATATGCACATTCTTTAGTCTGTATATTATTTGTAGAAAATTAATCATGCAAAAATATTTTAGATATGTCAATGGAGATTTTTACGAAGGATACTTTAAAGATGGATTACCTCATGGTCACGGTGTCAAAAAAGAAGGTCACTTTATGGCGTCAGTTGCATCTGTTTACATTGGAGAATGGGCTGCTGGTGTTAAACAAGGTTACGGTATAATGGACGATATTATGACAGGTAAATGCAAATTGTTAAACTAAAGATAAATTACAAAAATATCTTAGAAATAATAATGATAATGATATTATATAATTTTTTATTTTGTATAATATCGCAAAAGTTATACATATATTTTTAATAATATAATTTTTTAGGTGAAAAATATCTTGGGTCGTGGAGTAATAGTATGAAACATGGTAATGGTTTAATTGTGACACTTGATGGTATTTATTATGAAGGTGTTTTTACACAAGATGTCCTAACGGTGATTATATATATATATATATATATTTTTTTTAAATATTTTTAAAGAGATTCAAATTATTGATATTAACATTGTTCATTAAAGGGTCATGGAGTAATGGTATTTGAAGATGGCACACATTATGAAGGTGAATTCAAGTCTGCAGGAATATTCTGTGGAAAAGGTACATTAACATTCCGAAGTGGTGATAGATTAGAAGGCAACATGAATGGTGCATGGAATGAAGGTTTCAAAGTTATTGCTACATTGCATATGAAAGCTAGTGGAACTGCGCAATCTAATTCAAAACCAGCGTAAATATCTTTTATATATGATTGCAATACTAGTATTCTATTATTAGTAAACATATATTGATTATGAACAGCTAAGAAGTAATAATATATAGTTTTTCATATTATTCTTTTATTATTCTTATTAGATCTTTTGGAAAACTATGTGTACCTCCAGATCAAAAATGGAAAGCGATATTTAAACAATGCTATCAACAACTTGGTGTATCTGAACCAGTTACCAAAAATTTCAGTTACAGTGAAAAATCTATGGAAACGCAAAAAATATGGCAAAATGTTGCTAGTATAATAACAAAATCTCATCAAAAAACGTTGCAACGAAAAAAATTATCCGCTAATACTTCGAATACAAAAGACAGAAATAACGAAACTATCGATCAATTAGACAAGATACCGGGTTTTGGACGAGACAAGCTCACCATTCAGACTTACAACGAAATTCATAAATATTTAATAAAAGCTTTTGAAAGCCCACATCATCCATTGGGCGCTCTTTTGACGGAAATAGCCACGGTATATACAGCTACTTATGGTGGCGTAAGAGTACATCCGTTATTACTTAGCCATGCAGTGTCCGAGCTTCACAGTGTTACAACAAGGATATATGAAATTGTACTTCTCTTATTCCCAGCTTTACCACGTTGTGGCAAAGAATATGTTCTTGAAACTGATAGTGAAGAAGAGTATGTATTGTGAAAATAAATGTATTGTGAAATATCTACGCTTTTTTAATTGACTCAAATATCGATTATAAAGATCAATTATAAAGATATCTATTTTTTTAGGCAAGTCATAAGCGCTGCTGCGATACTTCACCCGATATTACTGCCACGTGTACATTCTGCACTTTTTGTATTATATGCCTTACATAATAAAAAGGAGGATGATGCATATTGGGAGAGACTAATGAAATGGAATAAGCAACCTGATATAACTCTCATGGCTTTCCTTGAAATTGATCAGTAAGAAATAGATTTGTACAAAAATTTGTAGAAAAACTTAATTATATATATATATAGAAGTGTTCTACTTTATTATGATAATTGTATTTTACTTTTATGTAACTTATGCTCTTATATAAAATTACAGGAAATTTTGGAAGACTACAAATGTAATAAATATTACAGATAATTCATTACCGTATCAGCATGAACCTTATTTTAGTGAGGCTATAGAAACTTTACAGCAACTTAAAACAACTTTTTCCCCTTTAGAAAAGTTGTTAGTAGTCAGAAATACATTTGAACAAATGACACAAGTAAGTACGCAAAATAAAGAATATCGATATTATTAAGAATATCGATTTATGTGATAAATGACAAATAAATTATTTATGCACTTTTGTATGTTTAACGATAGGCAGTACAAAAAGAATTAGGATCTACATATTTATGGACGATGGATGAACTGTTTCCAGTATTCAGTTTTGTTGTAGTACGTGCTAGTGTATTACAATTAGGAAGTGAAATACATTTTATCGAGGACTTCATGGAACCCTACTTGCAAAATGGAGAACTTGGTATTATGTTCACTACTCTCAAGGTTAGATATAACTAACAGATAAAATATATAATAAAATTAAAATTAGTAAATTATTTAATATATTTTATTTTTAATTATTTAATATATTTTATTTTTTAAATTATTTAATATATTTTATTTTTAATTATTTAATATATTTTATTATTTAATATATTTCATAATTGAATTAAATTAATTTTATTACAGGCATGTTATTATCAGATATTACAAGAAAAAACAAATATGGGCGATTAAAGACGCAAATGTTTTCACAAATATAGTGGTACACTGAAATGATCAATATATATAT